TTATATCTCTCGCATTTTTTTATTTTTCGCATGAGCTGCCGAAAGAAATGAATTTAAATAAATATTGACATAATTTCTTTAAACTTCCAATGGGCTTCGTGCTCTCTCGCACTCAAAGCCACAATAAGAGCACGCAGAGGAGGGCGGGCGGGGCAGCGCACGAGTTTCAAAGTAAACAAATTAACAGCGCCATCTAGTAGTCAGCAGCAGCAGCATCAATCGAAACCCGTACGCAAACACAAACGTGAAGAAATGAACAACAGCAAAGTAGATCCAAAGACAAAAGACAAAAGCGAGAGTGAAATCTTAAAACGTCAACAACAACAATAACAGTAGCAACAACAGCAACAACGGCAGCGACGCTGTGGCTGGCTGAGCTTACAGTTATTCAATTGACATATCGCTCGTTAGAATGAACCTCTCCCCCTCTTTCAGGTAAGCAGCAACAGCATGCTCTCGCTCTCGCACACTTACATGCTCACATGCTGCTCTCTTGTAAAGTCTTTTTGGGCGCCCACTTTGTGCGCTGGCAAAGTGAAATTTTTGGCGATTGACTCATTGGAAGCTACTCGACTTTTTCAAGTGGCCGTCGCGACGCCGGCGCAGAATAACGGCGCAAGCTACAACTTCGATCTTGATGAGAATGTGTGTTGGTGAGAGAGGGAGAGAGAGCGCAAGCGGAATAGACATACTAGCTGCTAAGATTCGATCTACATTCATGCATCATTTAGCTATGCAATGCGTGAGAGCGAGCCGAAGATTTGTTGCGCTCACTCGAGGGGCAGCTGAAAAGTTACCGAATCGCAACCGACAAAGATTTGATATTAATCATGAAATACATATCATTCGGCAATTTAATTCTAATTAATATTTATTTGACTATGCAATTCGTGAGTGCAAGCTAAAGATTTGTTATGCTTGCAGGATACTAGGCTAAAAAGTTACCGAATCGCAAGCGAGCAAGGGTAAATTCAGTTATAGTGATAAGTCAAACACTTTTTGTACCACCCTCGCAATTATGTTCAGCTGTGGAAGGTCAGAGCAAAGCAACTGGAATTGCAGACAACTGTTGTTTGTAACCCACTTGTTGTTATTGTTGCTGTTGTTGCTGTAAACATATTAGTGGAAAGAAAGTATGAGACCAAATGCGGCAGCAACAAGTGGCAATAGCAACAGCAACAGCAACAGCAACAGCAGCAGCAGCAGCCCGATTGGCCAGCAGCTAGAATAGCTGTAAAACTCTAAATGGTCATGGCCAATGGAATTCTAATTTGGGAATGGGGGAATGGGAATTTTGTTGTACTCTAACTGGACTTTTGGCCAAGTGGCCAGCAGCAGCAGTTGKCCAAGTTGCATTCGCTGCGTTTTCCAATTGGACACGCTCAACACTAGCATTTCGGATTGCATTGCCATGGGCAGCGTGAGGTGAGGCGAACTGCGCTTTTGGCTAGCTAGTTCTAATTGGAATTGTTGGGTTGGCGCAACACTTGCATTTCGAATTGGAATGATAATTTTGTTGAGCTCTGCCGAATTGCATGCGCTACGAATCCCAATTGGACACGACTCGTCACTAGTCTTGCGAATTGGATTACGAATTTTGTAATTCCCGTGTGATATTCCAATTGGAAGTTCGGCTGGCTATGTTAGACAGTCGGCTAATGTGTGCTCAACATTTACTGCTGCTGCTGCTGTCTCTTCTTCTTCTGCTTCTTCCGCTTCTTCTTGAGTTGTTCACATAATTTCACTGGCATTCCAATACGTAACAGCTGGAAAGGTTTCATATTTATATTCATAAAGACATTCATTTCCATTTCTCTATTCGCCGGTCTGCGTGTGAGTGTGTGTGTGCCTGTGTTAGTGTATGTGCCGGGTCACATATTTTCTATTTTTGTCAATAAATTATAACGGTTGTGAAATGTTATTAGCATTAATTAATTATTAAGCTCATAGAAAAATAGAAAGTGACCAACAAAAACATCAACAACAACAACAACCAGAAACAACAACATTCATTTGAATCAAAATTATCAAAAGGCGCGTCCATACATCGAATCCGAAAAACTGTTAATTATGCATCAACTGATTCGAATGAAGCATGAAATTAAGATCGAAATCGAAACCGAAAAAATTGTTAGTTATGCGCATCTTTGCATTCGAAATCATGCCGGAAATCAAGTTCGAAAATGGTTAATCAGCGATCAAGCGAAAGTGTCGAGGAGGCCTTTTGTCTCTGTTCCAGCCACACATACATTACATATGTATGTATGTGTATCAACTGTTATAAAAACTGTTATACGTCTGTCTTCCTTATCGAACTATGACATAAATATGCATGAGTGTCGCGCTGTCATTCACAGACAAACTGGTATACAAACTGTTATAACCATGCATTGGTTTCATCTGAATTCCATCTTACCATTCCCACAAATTTCTTTTCAGTTTCGTTTCTAATCAGATGTCACTTTGATTACGTATCAAGTGCTTCGATTATGCTAAACAGCTTCTCACRCACACGCACACACACACACACTTCAGCATCCTGCTGATGTTTATATAACACGCAGACATTCGCTTGGCTTTGCCATTTTGCATAATTGGCAACTCGCTTTCTTCTGCTTCGAAATTTGAATGGAAGCGAGTTGCCGTAATATCAGAAATTATTGAGGTAGCAGCTCGAACAGGTCGAATGGATGTGAGCTAGAGATGAGACGAGAGGGAGAATAGACATAAGCCGAGTCGAGCAATTGATGAGGAAGCTCAAAATAAGGAACTAAATCAACAGGCTAGAACGAGAGTGTGTGAGAGAGACAGAGTGAGAGAGCGCGAGTGCGAGGGAAAGGTCAGCTGTAGACAAAAGATGAAGATGAAGCAAAAGCAGAAGAAGAAGAAGATGTATGCTGGAAAGTAAACGAATGCCAAATCGAAATACAAATTTGCTAAGCAATAGCCACAACAACAACAACAACATTAACAACAACAGCAAATACAGATATGCCGTTAAGCAGAACACCCAAACATAAGCGAACGCAGCCGCGACGGCGTCGTCGACAGCGGCGAGAGCAGCAAACTGGCTGACACAATTTCTCGGCGACTTTTTACGTGCATTTGGACACTGCGAGCTGTTTTTTTTTTTTTGTTTCTTTTGCTTTTGGGCTTCCTGGCCATCATTAGCCGCATTTGGCCAAGCTAAGAGTTCTGCTGGCCGCATTTCGCACCTCATCATCATCACCATCAGCAGCAGCAGCAGCAGCAGCAGCAGCAGCAGCAGCCGAGCAGCAATCGAGCCACCAATTCGAAAATTCGAATAAAGCAGCTGAATATTACAACAAATTCGAAGATTCGAATGACCGAAAAATCGTTCAATTTCTTATTTACCTATTTACACGTGCGTTATCCTGGCTGGCGGCGCGTATATCAAGTACTTTATCACTTTTTATGCAACAAAAAAACGTGAAAAAAAAGTATCATAAAAATAGTTCACAGCAATATGTAAAAAGAATTTGAAAAAAAAAAAATTAAATGTAATTTAAATCGGCGCGCGCTTGCAAGCTAAGGGGAGGAGCTACGCCTCGGATGTAAAGTGGACTCAACGTGCGGAGACGCGAAACACAACTGCGCTAAGAAAACGACATCAAGTCGAGTTATTGGCAATTCGAGCCGAGCCGAGCGGGCCAACTGCTGCTCGAGACACGTTCGAAAGGGTCAGCTGAGCGCGGCTTTCTTTTTGCCATCGAACACGTTGCCGCTGGCAGGTGCGCGCCCGCTCTTGGGGAGTTGGGATCGAACGGGGAGCTTCTGCTCGAGCCTCGAGACAAGTTTGAGAGCGCACGCCAAGTGTGGCTTTCTTTTCGTTGCCCTCGCACATGTTTGAGAAGAGTCTCCATGTGTGAGTGTGGAGAACTAGTGCGATCAGTCGATCAGTCGGATCAGCTGAGTGGAGTGCGGCTTTCTTTTTGCTATCGAACATGCTACAGCTTATGCATGTGTGTGTGTGTATATGTGTGACTTTGACGGCCCCCAACTAACGGGAGTCACATTGGCATCGCTGGAACATGTTCGTTCGCTCACCCAACCGCCCGCCCGCCCGCCCGCCAGCCTTGCATATGTAATTTGCCCCGCATCGAACTGACGAAAGGCAGCTGTGATTGGTGCCAGTTGGGCAATTACTCAACTCTCCTCTTCCGACTCGACCCACTGCATCTGCCGCTGGGCAATGCTAATGAGATGTCATTGGTGTTGCTGTTGTTGTTGGTTTTCCACTCTGCGATGATTGTCGCCTATGGATGAGACGCTTCCATTGTTGTCTCCTTGCGTTGAGTGCGTGAGTCAAGCGGCCGCTCCCTGGGAACCTTGAGTCCAACTTCTACTTCTACCACCGCCTGCACAGACAAAGCAGAAGACGCGATCGGACGTGATCCGGCATGATTGAACTGGGAGGCATTGGACCACAGACCTTGAATTCGCCAATGGAGATGCAATCAAATGAAATTGGTATGCATCTACATAAATACATATGCATGTATGTTTGTATGTTACTTAAGTCAAGCTTTGGTTAGCTCAAGGAAGTAAGGTAGGTGACAGGCCATACATCGATAAGATAGGACTCGATGTGCAGCTTTTAGATACCATACTCATATAAACGTCCGCTTCGTGCTGGCTACGAAATACCCTTTGTTATATGTTATATAAACTTAAATTGCTTTGGATGGCCGACTATACAGTTCCCTGGACTTATTTTTAAGCGAAATGACTTTGAATACCCTGCATTCAGTCGAAAAGCCCATGACAGCTAAAATACACATGCATACATATGGAGTGTGGATTATCGTTAGTAATAGACACACATGTGTCAGAACCTCATTATATAGATGATGTGCACATATATGGAGTAACTCACGTCGTATCGGAAAAAAGCCTTGCTCCTTTCGAAATGAATAAGATTTTAGAATTATTAATAATATATTTTATGAATACTAAAACAGATTTATTT